GGGAGATGAGGGAGAAGAGATTTCCAGCATATTCACACCCCAGTCCTACAGGCTCCACAGCCACCCCCCAGACAGGGGCTTATCACAAACTCTCCCTATCCCTAGCCTGCATCCTGCCCCACAGGGAGCATGGGGCTGCTCCAACCCTAGGGCACCCTCCCTTGCTGAGCCACATCTCTGCTTGGGTTCACTGAAACCCCTCCAGTCAGGTTCCCTGGGCCTCCGGTGCACAATGCATTTTTAGGGCTTAACCCCGTCCTGCCCGCGCTGTAACCAAGGGACAGGAGGCAGCTAGTGTATATCAATAACTAGCACCAGCCTGGAAGCATGAACTGCCTTTCAGCACTGTGTGGGCGAGAAGGGACAAGCTGCTCACAGGCACAGATGCTGGGGATGGGAAGGAAGGATGAGCCCTGCAAAGATATGAGTCAGGTCATCCTTTCCCCTTTTCCATCTCCCCTGCAGCTGGAAGCAGTTTCAGTCCCTGCACCCTGCCACAAGGCTGCTGCTGTCTACATTCTGGTGTGAGTCCTGGCAGAAATTGGGAGACAGAGCACTCTGTGTGTCCCTGCCTCCATGTATTGCCTCAGGAAAAAGTGGTGCCAGGTACTGGGAGAGACAGTTCCATCCTGAAGGCCCAGCCAGGCATGGAAAGCAGAGAGTTGGGTAGGGAAGGTCAGTGAGTCTTCACCCCCATATGAGAAAATCACACAGGCATGTGCATTGTCACCCCTCCCTGTGTGAACTCTAAAGCCTTAAAGATAAGAGAGTAAATAAAAAGAATCCAATTATGCAGCATTTCTTTTTAACAGGGGCTCAGCCAACATTAGTTTGAACGTTGGTACTGCATAGTTCTGATTGATTGACATTGAACTCACTTGAATACAACTAATTTTACCAGGTGTTCCATATTTAGCATACAGAAATATCATCACCCTATCCCTCAGAGAATTATTTTGTGTCTCAGTGGCTTTTTTTTTTTTTTTTTTTTTTGGACAAGCGTTGTCCTCCCACTCATCTTCTTTAAGTGTCTATGAAGGAATGTGATGTTTGTTCCTCTCCTCCCTTCCTTGCTGACTGAAAGGGATGCTGTCAGCTCCAGTTTGTTAGCTCAGTGCTCCCTAGAGCACCTTGTGTGCATCAGTTATCATGGAAGAGTATTCCAGTAATCAGCAGTCTGTTTGCTCTGCCTGAAATATAACTCCAACGTGGTTTCTTGAAGGAACACCTGCAATGCCCTGATAAACCACACTGGCTCTGAAACCGCAGGCTGAAAATCACTGAGATAAGGCCATCACTTTGCATTCCTCAGCTTATAGCATGGAACTGACTGTCCATCTGTCTGGTTTGTATCTGGGTTTGGATTCTTGAGTCACACAGTCTGAATCAGAACAACAATCCAGACCTGAAAATGCACACATTGGCTATGTCTACACTCGCGGCTTCTTGCGCGAGTAATATGCAAATGAGGCTAAGCGTGGAATATTGCCAAGCCTCATTTGCATACCTAATGAGCCACCATTTTTTTCAGAAGAGGCTCTTGCTCAAGAAGGAGCGTCTACACTGCCCCTTCTTGCGCAAGAAAAACCCTCTTGCGCAATGCCGTTACACCTATTATTTTTCAGGAAGAATGGCATTGTGCAACAGGGTTTTTCTTGCACAAGAAGGGGCAGTGTAGATGCTCCTTCTTGCGCAAGAGCCTCTTCTGAAAAAAATGGTGGCTCATTAGGTATGCAAATGAGGCTTGGCAATATTCCACGCTTAGCCTCATTTGCATATTACTCGCGCAAGAAGCCGCGAGTGTAGACATAGCCAATGTGTGCATTTTCAGGTCTGGATTGTTGTTCTGATTCAGAGTCATCTCTTTTTGGAATCAGGCAAGGTGAAGTTCACAACATAGGGCAAATGTGTCCCTTCTGAACTGTTCTGTGGCCTGGTTCCTACTGCATATTGTGATCTCAAGCTTCAAAAAGAGCTCCCTTTAACTTCCATGCACATGCTTACTTGATACTCACGTGAATCCTGTTTTTCAAATTTAATGTAGATTGGATAGAAGTTTTTCAGATTTATTTTTTTCATTGAAAAAACGGCCTTGTTCTTTAAAAAAATATCCAAAAGAATGTTTTTTTAAATTGTTTTTTCCAAAACTTTCCTCAAACATTTTTCAGTTGAAATATGTATAAAAAACTTCATTGAAATAGTATTCAAAATGTTGCATACCCTGAAACCCAGGTTTGGGAGTGTAAAACGTCAATAACCATTTTAATAAAAAGTCACTAACATGTTTGGGAAAATGGGTCTGTACTGAGCCTTAGAATCAAAGCTGATATTTCTGAAAATTTCATGATATAGACTTCATAAAATTTCAAACAGATCCAAAGTTGGAGCCAGAATCAGAAAGAAGCATTGACTTCTCATAGGTCCAGGGCCAGAAGTTGGGCATAGATGATGCTACCTTATATATTTTTAAACTCCTGTGACCACTGACAGTGGAAGGAGTAGGAGAAAAAAATCATTCCGACTCAATTACACAGTTGTAAAAGTATCTCTGAATTGGTTGCAGATTTTTGAAATCCAAAATTTTAACTAGCGTTACCATATTTGAATTTTCAAAAAAGATGCAAGTGAAATTTCAAATGTTAACAAAAAGGACAACTGTTGGATGGAAATTTGTGTTTACTGCCAATGTTGATCACCTCTATGCTATGGACCTACAAAGCCAACTCCTTTCCTCAAGGCCAAACTTCTTAAGGGAAAGCTGGAAATTGAAATGTATAGCAGCTTTTTGGTCATTTTTGCAAATTTTATTCTCCTGTTTGGAAGATTAAGACTTTCCAGTCTTCAGTTTTACCAGATACCCTTAATGGGGCAGAAATATGCAGAAACCTTACATGCCTCTTGGGTGCATGCTAATAACTAAGTCTAAATCTTGATGATCCCATGAAGTCCAAAGGCTGGTAACTCTTTGGACGTGGAGTCCCTATTTAACAAATATTGATGGCTACTGTTCGGTATTTGATCAGAGAGAGAGAAAATGGAGAGCTCCCCTCCCTACTAATTCCTTTCTGGCTCCCTAACTGCCCCCTGCAATTTCAACTGAACACTATTCTTCTCTACTTCTTGTCCTGAACTGTTGTAGCGTTTGCATCCTATACACAGTTTGAGGCAATATATAAAATGCACATGATATTAATTCCAAAGCAAGAGGAGATTAATGAAAAATGATAGCTTCTAAAAATAACCTCTCCGCCTAGAAAACTGAATATACTCCTCTGGTTTTGCAAACATAAAAGATAATTTAGGGTTTCCTAAGCAGAGCTATTACTAATTCTCACTTGCATTCCCCCTTCCTGAAGTGGCAAGGCAACTTTATGAATCTACCGCAAGATGGCACTGTTGACATATAAACAAGACGCGGGAGTAATTCTAAACAGAACATTTTCATTCAACCAAGCACTCTTAAACAAGGTTAGATAATACTGTGGTAAACCAACAAGCGCCTTGTCTATGGTATCACTTTCCTCTTCCTAGTATAAAATACTTATCAGGTGATTTCTTAATTTCTTGGAAGACTCTTCCTAGTACTGGTGGAGCTGAACCATTTGTACTGCAGGAGTGAAAGTCTGGGGGCGGGAAAGGGGAGCCTACTCACAAAAACTACAGTGAAAAGGAATTTCCCAGTTGCCCACCCAAAAAATATAGCTGCAAAAAAGTACTTTCAAAAGGAAGTGTTCACAAATTCTTGAGATAATTGCTGTCAACATTTTGGTCAGTGGGGATACCTAATACAGAGGGCAGTTAATCACATTGGAATATGTTAGCTATGTGGTCGGATGAGAATAGAAGCACTGACCACTGTAACACATACCTTTACATAGAATATTTCATACTAAGGTCACAACACACTTTTAGAACATTACTATAAAAAGCAGGAGCACTTTTCTATTCAGATTCCTGTGCACAATGACCATCGTTGTGCACCAAAGGCCCCATTCTACAAAGAATTACTTGGAAACCCATGGAATTGCACATCTGCTTAAAATAAAGCATATATGTGTTTGAAGTAATTGGGCCAAAAATAACCAAGTGTTTGTACAGGTGTCTCTTTTGCAACCTACAGCTGTGTGACTCCATGTAGAAATGTAAGCATGCAGCCGCATAGGTGTTTCTGTGTGAACACACGACCCTTTAAAAAAGAAAATAGGAGCTAATTCGTTCATCAGAAAGTGTTTTATATCCCCCTGCTACAGCACGAGGAAAGGAGATACAGAGTGGGGGAGGCCCAGGTGCCCAAAGGGGAGTGAAGTGTCATTCCAATGAGGGTTGAAACACCTCCTTGCAGGCGCCCTGCCAGCTGCTGCACTCCTCAGCCTCGATGCATGGGGAGAATGAGGCAAGAGAGCTGCAGATGGGCCGGCCGGAAACCAACTATACTGGCTATTCTGAAACGACAAGGGATCGCTAG